TGCATCTTTTGACTAAATTTTCTTCAAAATGTAGTATGGCAAGGTTAAAAAAAGTCTATGTTGTGTTTTAATATATTAATGTGTTCTGTTAGCATAGTTTTAAATTGGTTGGGATTTTTTCAATTATTTTTTTTGTCACTGAAGTTGTTTTATTAAGTTTTGGCTAGTTTTACCAATATAAATTGATTTGCAATCCAAACAAGTAATTAGACCAGATTTCTAAGACGTTCGAAATTTAAAGAAATTTTTGTTTTAGCAAAAATTTGGTTAGTGGTTGTGCTAAAATTGTAAGGACTACTCGGAGTCCTTATTTATAAAATAGTTTTTTTTTTTTCAAGCAAAATAGAATTCTTTATTGTATGGCAAACAATTGACACCAGAGTGGGTTCCTAAATCAGGTAAATTATTAAGGACAGTAGAATTGTTAGTTTTATTTAAGGGGTACGTACATCTTATTAGTTATAGTATTAATTTATCTTTTAAAACTTTGATGTTTTGAATTTCATTTTTAGTCTTTACTTGATGAAGGCTAGGATTATAGCCAAAACGTATGAGTTTTATAATAAATTTTTAAACAAATTTTTGTTTTTTATTATTATTATTTTTAACTTCTCGTAGGGTAGTTATAGTAATGGGTCGAAAATCGAAAATGAAAATTTTTGCATTTCTCGACGTTTTGAAGGTTTCTGAACATTTTGGCATGCCTCAGAAAAAATGGATGTGTGTGTGTGTATGGATACAATTTTTCGTCCACGTTTTCGGGCGCACGGATCAACCGATTTGAATGGTTTAAAAAACATTCGATCACTATTGATAAGAAGATGTGCTCATTAGTTTTTGGCAAAGGTACGTACAGCCGTTACGGAGATACGAAGCAAATAGTGCAGAAAATACAAATCGAGTTTTTGAGAGAACGGAGTATCGGATTTGAATGATTTAAAAAACATTAAATTTGTAATGTTTGGGAGAAGAAGTGATTAGTTTTTGGCAAAGACAGGCCCTGTCATTTCGAAGATACAGAGCTAAATGTGCAAAAAATTGCGGTTTTTGTGTGAACTAAGCGTCCGATTTGAATTATCTAACAAACTTTCTGCTGGTATTGACAAAACAATTGCTCTTGAGGATAAAAAATTATTGCATCTTTCTTTATTTTCTATAAAATATTTTTGTAATTTTGGATTAAAAATTCAAAAAATACCCGGGCTAAGCACAGTCTAAGCGCCACTATGGTACAAATGGTTACCCAAGTGCGTTTAAACTGTTCATGTACTGGTTATGTACACTTTTCGAACTCGAATTTTGTGAAAACTAATGAAAAATGTGAAAATGCCGCCAAGCTAAGCACAGTATAAGTGAAAATGTCGTACGGAATTATTTGCAAATGCGTTTTGACTGTGACAGCACTTTTTCAATTTTGTGTAAATTAGGCAACTATATTTTTGAAATGACGATTGTTAATGTTCTGGAGATAAATTGATTTATGATTTACATTTGATTTGCTCAGATATAACAAGATAGCAAAAATAATGAAAGTTACAGTATTTGTAATAATATATTTGAAAACGTTTAAAATTTCTCGAATATTTCATTACGGAACGGGAAGTTCCAGCAATTTACCTTAAGGCACGATGCCATACACCACCAGTATTGATTTTTATTGAGATTCATATTGATTAGGGTGGTCCTCAATATGGATGTTTTTGAATTTTCTTGCTCCTAGGAGCGCGAAAGTAAGTTTTAGCTCTTAATATTACTTTAAGACAGACCGCACGCCGACCAAAGTTTCTGTGGAAATAGCATATTCCATTTGTTTTTTAGAATTATATAACTCAGCCACAAGTGGATTAAAATTTTGAGTATAGCATTGTATTTGCTTCTCTTGATCATAAATAAAAAAATACAACAAAAATTTGATATATTTCATAAAATAAGTACAGTAGAATCCGATTAGTATGACGCCGGATATATTGCCAACCGCTTATTATGACGTAATTTTAAAGGCAGTTTGGTTTCCATATAAAATTTCTCAAAAAAACAGCTGTTTAGTCGGATATGTTGACCTCGCTTACATTGACATTTCGCTTATAATGACCCATTTTTGAAAAAAAATTTGGTCCAAGTATTGGCTATGTGCGAAGGCATGGAAGGGGAAGTCAAATCGACCGAAGCGTTCGTAGTGGCTAACTTGAAGCACTAGAAGGGGCTATTATAAACAAAATTTTAAACAAAAACACATAAAATATTTATTTACTTCAAAATTTAAATAAGATAATTTAAAATGAGCCACCATATCTGTTGTGTAGTGGGTTGTAGAAATACCAGCAGAAAAAGTGACTGCAAATTCTATACATTTTGTACAGCTAAGTGGAAAGAAAATCAACGGGAAAAGTGGATCGCAGCGGTTAGAAGAATAAAGTAAGTATCATAACCTTATTGTTATAAAAATACAATTCGGAGTATTATGAATAGTTGTAAAATTGTTATGTTTAGCAAAAAGAAAAATTATAAGTCAATAAATTGTTGTATTATCAAAATTTAATGCTTACTAAAAAAATGTTTTGTAAAACAATGTAATTAATACAAGCCTGAAATAATGAAAAATACATATTTATATATTGTATATTGATTATGTATAACTATTATTTATATATTAATTACATTTTATTATATAATAATTGTAATTTTATGATTAAAAGAAAAATAAAAGTTATCACATAGCGAAAAAATGTTTATTAACTTCCCGTAGGGTAAGTTATAGTAATCGCAAAAAAATCGAAAATGAAAATTTTTATATATCTTTACGTTTCAGAGGTTTCTGAACATTTTGGCATACCTTAGAAAAAATGGATGTATGTGTGTGTGTGTGTGTGTGTGTGTGTGTATGTGTGTGTGTATGTATGTATGTATGTACGTGTGTGTATGTATGTGCGGATACAAATTTTCGTCGACGATTTCGGGAACACGGGTCAACCGATTTGAATAATTCAAAAAACATTCGATTCGTATTGATAAGGAGACGTGCTGATTAGTTTTTGGCGAATGCAGGTCTAGCCGTTCCGAAGATACGGGGCAAAAAGTGCCGAAAACGGTAACTCAGTTTTTGAGAGAACGGAGCGTCCGATTTGAATAATTCAAAAAACATTTCACTTGTATTGACAAGATGAAGAATCGATAAAATTTTCATAAAGGTAGGTCTAGCGGTTTCGGAGATATGGAGGAAAAAGTAAAAAAAATGAGCCATTTGGCGGTCAAAAATGATCATTAGACATATGCACATCAAATTATCAGATATTTTATAGAGATTTTAACAATAAGTATGAATTTGGTTTACAGTCCTATGGGTTCCGTACCAATGCTTATGCGTTAGACAGCGACGCGGCGCTTACGCGCTTTATATTTTGTCCCTATGCAGTTAAAGCAGTACGATTGATTTGAAAAGAAAGTTCAGATCTTCCACAATATGTCAAAATAAAAAAAAATTTTTTTTCAAAAAAAAAAAAAAAAAAAAAAAAAAAATTAAAAAAAAATTTTTTAAAAAAAAAATTTTTTTTTCAAAAAATAGTAATTTTTTGTCCAATTTATAGTTTCTCAAAATCTTATTTTTTCAAAGTAATTTTTTTTTTCAAAAATGTTAATCGTTTTTAAAAAAATAATAATTTTTGGTACGGGAAGTTCCAGCAATTTGCCTCAAGGCACGATGCCTTAATTGCCTTAAGACAGAATTCCACTTACAGCTAGTTTTGCAAACAGTTTAATTAATACAATGCTGAAATAATGCGAAATTTATATTTGTAGTGTTGATGGATCACCGTGGGTTCCCAAGCCCTATGATCGCATTTGCAGTGAATCGGTCGAGGTATTGAGTCCTACCTACTTGTCAACAATATTTCCTTCAATTTACAAGTCTCGAAAAGTTAATGTAGTTTTTTTCCTGCAATTTTATTTGATGGGTCTTGTCTTTGATAATAATGTCTAAATTATGTCTTTATAATAGTGTCTAAGTCTTTAGTTTGACCAAAAAAATGAGTAAATTAATTTATTATTTACTTATTCTATTGATAAAATATTATTTATCATTATTATATTATTTTTATTAAGAACTATTCCGAGATTATGACATAAGCTTTGAGGCACTTAACCTTAAAATTATTTACTGCATTTCTTTATTTAATTAATGATTATACTTAACTATGTTTTAAGTACGTTGAAGTAAATTTAATAATTTCAATAAACATTCAGCGTTCACATTATTACTGTATCTTGTTTATTATTATTTATAACAATTATTTAATATCTTTTTTCTTTAACAAACATGTAAAACCCATGAAAAACACACACTGATAGCCCCAATCAGTTTATATTTATTACGGCGCTGCAGTCACGCTCGGAGCGAATAATGACCGACATGATTTTACACCTCCGATAACATAGAGTTCATGTTTTTCATTGCACATTGTTATGGTATGGCACCACTGTGAACTACCCTTGTGTGTCAGGTCGCTACATACCTTCAGGTCTCTATGTTGCACGAGATTCGCGCTATGGAAACTTTGGCAACTTCCGGCATGGACGACCTCGTGCAAAAAATAAGTAGGCTCATTCTTGGTGTTCGAAATTTGGAAGCGATAACATCTGCTATAATTTACTGAATTAGTAAAGTTCTATATTTTTTACTATTTTTACCCAGTAATTAAAATTCAAACGAAAATTACAGATTTCTTACATTAAAAAATGCATTGTTATGTCATATTTTTAATTAAATTTGTCAATTTGTTTATATGTGTCATTTTTTACCTTAATTTTTGTATTAAATTACCGAAATTAATAACATATTCGCCAAAAATTGTTTTTTTTTTCAGTACGCTTAGTATGACGACCGCTTAGTATGACCATTTTTCGCCGTCCCTTGAATGTCATACTAAGCGGATTCTACTAGTATTTACTTAGGAAGAAGAACCAAGAAGCTTTGATATATAATATTTGATCTGTTTCTTTTCCAGAATGCTCTCATGTCCTTCGAAGAAGAAAAACTCCAGCTGGCCCTGAACGAACTCAAGGAAACAGAAAAGCAATGCGCAAACGAATCCTTCAAAAGTCAATCAAGTAAATTATGAAACTTTATTAGTATTCTTATTACAATTATTATTGCTGATGCCAATTTTGATCTAGGCGGAGGTTGGTTCAAATCGGTGAAAGATCGCCTGCTGCCAACTAGCGATCGTCGACAATCAAATGGGCGGAAATCGATAGCAGAATTGCAAAAGTTGGTATATAGAAAAAAATAATAATATTTATTACTAGATGACCCGACAGACGTTCCTGTACCCATGTCTACAATTTTTTAATATAATATACTAATATTTACCGTTTACCTAAAAATAATAATTATTGTTTTTTAAATTACTCTCCACACTATATTTTAAATTGAAGGCTTGTAAACGGTATAACATAACCCTAACCATAACATAACACTGGTCCTTAATGTTGGATTAAATTAATTTAATTTTATATTATTTAAGATATCCAAAATTGGATCTTAAACTTCTCCTAATCGATATCGTGAGGGCCGAATTGTATGTATTCATCTTTACTTTCTCATTTGTTATTATAAAGTGAAAATTTTACGAATTTTAAAAATATTGTGGTAAGATTAGTAAAAGATGCAAAGAAATTTTATATTGAAAAAAAAACTATATTGAAAATTTAATATCCGAATCTTGTGTTGGCGCCCCCTAAGACATTAAAGGTAGGACCGGCCCTGATTAATACTTAATTTCATATTTTAAGTGAATTAATTTGTCATATCCTGTTCATATGTGTATCATTCAATCTGCTATACATATACTGTATTTTATATTATTTTAATTTCTGGCACATCTCAGCTGCTTTTTGGCAATAATAATATAGACATTTCAGTTTTCTTATTCATAATCATAAATTTATTATACATATTCTAATATTGTCTAGGTTCATAAGTAAATTGAAATTTTTGGCAGATGATAGTTTTCATTTGTTTTCAATGCAAACAATGACATGTCGGTTTTTGCAATTTTTTCTGTTTATTTCTACAATATTGCCTATACATACCAGTACTTTATAATCACATACATCCTAGAAAATTTCCTTAACAAACTTCAGAAAGATTTATCGAAATCCGAATAATCGTCAAGGAGGAATATAGTTCCTACTGGAATATAGATCCTACAATGAGTGCTTGTAATTTAATATGAACTTTATATAATAGCAATAAAGCTCAAATTGATTCTACGTTTTAGTTAGAAAAAGTTTGTATGAGAAAAAGAAAAGGGCTGTTTTGGGGGTTTTCCGGCAATTATTCGCTTTTTTCTCGCCGTAGGAACAATCCTTGGACTTGAACGAACATTTAAAAAAAATAATTGGCTAAATTGGTCCAGACGTTGTTGAGTTATGCGCTTACCAATACATTTTGCGATTCATTTTAATATATAAGATGTGCTTGGAAAATAATTTTATGGGATCCTGAATCGACATTCCTGATTTCTTTTATTTTTCAGGGAGCGTTCCGACGAACTAGAACGGCGCGTGATTAGCGCCGATTGTCAACTTTGTAGTTCTCTGTTGACTTTACTTCAACAAGACCTGGCTGGTTATATGAAAGGTGCCTGGGCTCTCAGAAGAGCCTGGAAGGCTTACAGATCAGCACACTCTCAGATCCTAAGACTGTACCGGGAAGCATTCCGGGACGAAGGCGGACCAAGCGATAATCTACTTGATCCGGGTAAGTCCGGTTAACAATACAAAGTCCATCCTCATGTTGAATGTATAATGTAGTTTCTATTCTCTAGTCAGTCCCGTCAATCCGTCCTGGGAACCGACAACACCAGTGACTCCAGGAGGCACTATGGCTTTCACACCGATTGTCGAAAATATGTTGCCACTAAATATTTCGACTCCAAATGGCGAACATGAACAGTCTACAAAGGAACATAACCACAGACGTGCGTCTGTTGCCTCAAATGCATCATCTTCTTCATCAGCTGATAGTTTTGCTAGTTGCGAAGACATTTCTGTTAATAAAACGGATTTAAAGAGTAAAGTAAAAGATGCCGTCACCAGACAGTTGGGACCTTTATCTGATGATCCGACTACTGTTATCACGCCCAACCCGGATAATGTAGTTATTAAATATGAATCCGATAATGTAAAGAGTAAAGAGAAGACTAAAGAACCATTGAAGTTGAGAGATAGTTGTGAAATAGCTCAGGACGAGATGCGTGCCAATGTATCAGTCGCCCCCGAAAATGATATGGAAACAAAAAAAATACCTATTCGCGATAGAGACGAAATGAGGTTATCATTCTCCGATCCCGATCCGGTCCCCGGCACTAATCCTGCTTCCGGAAGCGACATGGACGACGTCCAGGAAGAGTTCGGTAATAATGGGTACATACAAAAATCAACTCAGAGAGTAATCTCAAATTCTAGCGACTCTGAACGACCAAGCACCTTACAATGGGATAGTAGAACCAACCAAAGATCTGATGGCGCATTGAGGTGGGCCTCAGATCATAACATCACTAGGCATAATAAATCTGTGGATTTTGTGGCAAGTCCCCTTCAGAAGTCTTTGAAATTTCACGGCACTGACCAGCAGAGGGTGCTGGACGAGGCTGGCAGGGGCGCGGCCTCGACTAAGAAGTAAGAAGATGACAAACAAAACTGACTATTGAACAGTAGACGATGCTGAATTGACCTATTACCTGCTCCAATAATATTATAAACAACTTTCCATCAACAAATTTAATACTAGTCAATATCTAATAGCATTTTTTTTTCAGGTTGCCGATAGATCCTGAAAATCTAGCACGTTTGATGTCAGCGGTAAGCTTTGGTTATGGAGTTTTCCAATTGGCTGTGAGTCTTTTACCTCCAAGTCTTCTGCGTGTTGTCCATTTCCTTGGTTTTGAAGGAGATCGTGGTGCGGGTCTCACCAGTCTTGCATTCGCTAGACAAGGAACTGATATGCGTGCTCCTTTAGCAACGTAAGGATAAAGAAATTATTGTTATTAGACATCTATCAAGTGCATCAATTGTTGAACAGATTAGCTCTTCTCTGGTACCACACCATAGTAAGACCTTTTTTTGCTATTGACGGTTCTGCTGGAGTTGGCGGATCAGAAGGTATGTCTTCAGAAATTGCAGAAGCAGGCAGATTGATTGCAGAGTCTAAAGAAGAATTCTCTGAAGCAGCTTTATTCTTGTATTTTGAAGGAAGAGTTGAACGTTTGAAGGTGCCCGAACATCCTTTAACTTATTAGTACATATATGAATTTTAATGTCTGTATATTTTCCAGTGTGATCTTCCTGCTGCAGTTTTGGCCTACGAGCGTTCTGCAAGAGCTGCAGTGCAGCAGGAAATTCAGTTGTTATGTCTCCACGAGATCGGGTGGTGCAGATTGATGCAGCGTGATTTTTCTAGTGCTGCGAGGTGTTTTGAGGAACTGAGAGCGAGGAGTAGGTGGAGCAGGTTAGAGTATATAGAATGTTGTCTCAGGTTCGTTAGTTTTATTGTTTGTTTTTGGTGTGTGGTTTTGGCCTAAAACTAATCGATAAGCTTGGTGAGTCAGTAATAAATTAACTCAATAAGCCTGCAATACCAGTTATAGCACAGCATGTACAATTTTTATTTATATTTATTTAATATTATTAATTTATAATGTTGTTTTTTTTAATTTACAGTAATCATTAAAACTATTTGTGTAATATGCATGTTGTGCCTGATTTAGTAAAAGTACTTTTATTCATAAACCAATAAATTCATAATACAATTGTTTGGAAAATTAATTTATTTTAGATTTGTATTTATTTTTAAATTAATATTGTCTTTTAATATTTCAGGATATTCTACACATTTCTTTCGGCACTGTGCAGAGGTGCTTCTGGAAATGAATCAGATGCTCGTGGAATCAAAGCGGAAATACTCGACATTTTGTCGTCGAGCGACCACAAGGTATATGTGAGTGGCCGCCTTCCTTATTTATTATTTTTAAAATTAAAAACAAATCATGGCCATAGCCAGGACGAACAGTAATGAACCTGAAAAGGCTTCTCTTATTACTCAAAGTAATAAGTTTAGTAATTGTATTATTTTATATTTTAGTAGATATATTTAGGTATACAATATCAAAATTATTGCATTGTAGTAGTAACGTCGCGTCCATCAAAAATACTTTTATTAAATCTCTAAATTCTCATTGATTAAATTAAGGCAAAATGCGACCTACACCTAGTTGTGGTCCTATGCTATGCCCATGGTAAATAAAAATTTGTATGAAACCAAAATTCTTTTTTTTATCCATTATCGTTTATGATTAAAGGAGGCACAGGTGGAAAAGTACATTGGCAGAAGGGTTTTATGTTTTCCGGACCCGGAAGTTGCCACCGGATCGCAATCTGCGGCTCCGGATAAGGATCCGACCTTCTGGAGAATGTATTTGTACGAAATGCTCATTCTGTGGAACGCTTTGACCAGCTGCAGACCGGAGGAAATAGAAAGCATAATAATAGGTAAATTTGGTTAAAATTTTATTTTAATTAATATATTATATAATAATATAATTATATTATATTATATATATATATATATATATATATATATATATATATATATATATGATATATATTATTTAAAGCTCTCCACAGATCAAATTTTAGTGTAAGTTTTTATATTTAATTTTTTAGAGTGTCTGGAGGTGAAAAAGGAGCCAGCTCCTGGTCTATCATCCTTAATTCTGGGTGCTTGTCACGCCTATTTCTCCCGTTGGTCAGAAGCAGAAAAGTCCTATCGATTGGCAATAGAACAGAAATCCGCGAGGTCTTCGAGAAGGGGCTCCAAAAGCCAGGTTGGGAGCAGTGGGTCTCGCACTCCACCCCAACCGAGCTGCTTTGCTAAATGGGATGATCATATTGCAGCATTTGCAAAGTATGAACTGGCTGTGGTGCTCATGGTACAGGATTTGGAAACAGTAAGAGAAAGAATAATATATTGGATTTTTATATATTATAATATATAAAATATAATATATTACTATATCTTTTTATATTAGAATCGTGAAGAGGCCAAAAAGTGGTTACATGAGGCTCAACAGTACAAAGATTATGATTTTGAGAACAGGCTCAACGTCAGGATACATGCTGCCTTGAAAAGGGCCAATGAGGGACCCAATTGAAGACTAGAGGTTGCACCAGGTGTATTTAAATCAGGTACAAACTCCAGTACACTTATATAATACATACAAGAATTAAATTATGTTTTTTCCTTTAGGTAGTTACCACAATTGCCTATGCAAGGTTATAGATAAAACTATGCAATATAATAATGTTGAATATTAGCAAAAGTATTAATAGAAGATATAATATGCTGCTATATTAAAAGTGATTCTATATATAATTATAAATAAATATTGTTGAATTTGTTAAACGAAACTAATGCAAATGTATAAAAAATTAATTGGCTTAAAGCCATACTCAACGCTTTGTTGTAATACTCAAGGAGAAGGTAATACAAAATAATATATATTTGTTATTTATATATACATATATATATATATACATAAATATATAGAAATTTTATATTTCAAGAAATATAAAATCCGTCCTTCAATATTTTTCATCAGTTTTATTTAAATTTCTTTAATTAATCATTTTTCTTATATTTTTTTGTATTTTTATATTTGGTGAAAAATTGATTGAAATTCCACATGCATTCCAGTGTCCAATATTGATTGATTTATTGATTATTTTTGCGCAACTTGATAATTATACAGTATGAAATTTGAATTTCGCGCTTTCGGCTTTCACTTCACTTCGCTTCGTTCATTTCTTCATGACAGTTCGCTTTTACTGGCGGCCATCTTTATACAGTGATTTTGTGAAAAAGGCGTGCTCGCTAATTAATTAGTGTTTTTTAATTAAATTCCTAATTAATTTCCATTAATTCATACATTAAATGGTTCTACTAATTATGCACATCAATTTGATATAAAATTCGTGTGTGATGATATGTTTTTAGATCAGATATGTGACAATGTTCTTCATCCTTAACCTATGATAATTATCTTTAATTCTAATTAATTTTATAATCATATACTTTATTTACAGCTTCCAATGTATCCTTTATATAATAATATATTCAAATATGCAATTGTCAAGTATTTAAATGTGTTTGTAAGGCTGCAAGTACTTTTGTAATATATCTGTATATTGTCAAATTCTAAGTCGCCTATTTTCACAAAAGGCTCTGATGTGTTCGTCGCGAAGTGTCGTGTGTTGAGTCACGAAGACTCCACTTGGACATTTGCATATTGTAAATTATGTGTATAAAGTCAGTGTCCAAAGTAATGTAATGTAGTGATTTACAAGTGCTCGGCTTTGGAACTTCTAGCAGATGCTTTGGAGGATTCATTATGAGGAGGAGATTTGGATTTAATTCTATGCTTCATTGTGGAAACGTCAATGTGAGTCGAACAATCTTTCTACACAACGTGTCAATGAATAATTCTCTGGAATAAGATACAGGATTTTATCGTACAACAAATATTGCTCTGATAATGTTCTCAAGCACATAACAAATAGTTTCTTGTATTTGTATTGTATAAATCAAAACAGCCTGTATGTATTTCAGTGAATATTTGCTGACTTGTGCATCATTAGTATTTTATGCATATGCATCTGCTAAATTTTGATTTTTTTTATTTAAAGTAATTACATAGTAATATTACTACAGAATCTTACATCTATAGTTTGAACCCATTTTGCTTTATTCTATTATAATATGATTTACAATTTAGTTATTTAAAAAGATTTTTGATTGACATGATACTAAACATTGTTTTTGCAATTTCAGTGAAGATTGAATAATACAAATCATTCTCTATTTATCTCAAGTACTACTTTAGCAGACGTGTGTGCAAAAATATCGAATATCATTTGCAATTTTGTGATATCAATCTGATATATTAGATACACTTTGTTAAATTATTATTATTTGCAAGTGATGTTCTACGAGCATAAAAATGATTTTGTACAATTCACTACGGGGAAAACATCTTGATTCACTTTTCAGCAAGTGTTTTTTAATTTCTCTTATGTATTAATTGAAACCTATTAGTTTTTTATTATAATTTCATAAATAGTAAATCAAATATTGTATTATTCTTTAAATAATAAGACTATGAGGAAAGGTTTCTCCAATTTCTTGTTGCAAAAGTAATATGATTAGATTTGGTTTCATTTATTTGTTGAGCTACTTTTCGAGTGCTGATGCATATTGTTGTTAATTTGCTATCCTGATGATTGTAGTATTTTCATCCAATGTTTTGTTTGGGTATAGGATATTCAGAAGGGTTCCTAGCATACACCCTTGAGGAACTCCTAAATTAATGGTATTTCAGATAGAACTCTAGTTCTGAAGAGTCTGTTTATCTGATAGCATCTCAACAGCAATAATATCCCACATTAGCAAGGATTTTTTTCTATTTTGTAAAGGAAAAGCTACTTATTACAAAATTATCTTTTTTTACTACACTTTGGGGATTTTGTTTCTCTGTTTCATTACATTTTAAAGAGATTTTTTACATTTTTACATTAATTCTAGAATTACATTTCTATTATCAAGAGTCATGTGTTTTCCCTGTAGCGATATTGACTGCATGCACATTCTCATTGATAGCAACACGATTGCTGGTTTTGATCAAAATACTTACGAATTTCCAAACTGTTAATTAAATGCAACTTTATAAGTCTTTCATTGTAATTTAGTAATTTTGTTTTCAAAGTATGTAATGATACTGCTGCATTGTTGAATATAGATTTTTATTATTTTATTGCTAAAACAATTTTGATCAAGACATGCAATCAAAGTTTCGAAGAGTTGACTTGAATGATTATACAAAACGTACAAGTATAATATTGAATAAATAAGAATGATTATACAACGTTTGATTACGTACAAGTATAATATTTGATTCAATTATTACATTCAATTTTAAATATTAACATGTTCGACAAATTCAGTGTTCAAGCTCCTGAACATTTTTTAATATTTCATTTATAAGTTTTGTTGAAATCTTTTACAGCTTTTTCCAATACTTTGTATATTGTTCAAGTCAACTGTTTTGTTTGTGTCTCGATTAATTGTAAAGGTTTCACATATTTTATGAGTCATATAAACAATTTTGATTTGTTTTAATATCATTTCATTCATCGATTAATAATTCATTCGAATATTTTTTTTTCTAA